ATATATATATATATATATATACATAATTTGTTTTATTAATTTATAAGTTACTCTTTAGTTCAGATCCCTACTGTTAGCCTATTTTTGATTAAACGTTGTTAATGTTTATATGATTTAGTTTGGTATTTTTCCTAGTGTGGCAGTTTCAAGCTTTAAAGTTTCTTTAGTGAGTTAAACCTTTAGTCTGGCGAGAGGAGGGTTCTCTAACTTGACTACAACTCATGGAAATATAAAAACTGGTCACCACACACAAAAACATATCCTTGCGCCAAAAGCTGCACACGAATCCAAGACCCTAGAAACATGGATTTCACGCTTTATCATTGAGCTAGTCGGGCTGGTGCCATGAAAAGTATAGTTTTTTTGGTAGGAATCCATTTTTGTCTCTCTCGAGCAGGATTTGAACCTGGGACTCATTGTACAACAAATGAATGTTCTATCAACTGAAAAACTGCTAATAAGGCGCTTTTGTAACAACTCATTCTATTATACTAGATAACATTATGATTATTTTCAAGATCACCAAATTTTTTATTTGCGAGCATTCCAGACAAAATATTGAATTCACATGTTCAATTCGCTGTGTTAGTTTGAGAGTTAGACCATGCATATAGGTGTATTAAAAACAAGCAAAATAGTTGTATTGTTTTACAAGAAAACATTCAATCTGTGTAGTTGCTGATAGAAAAAAAAATCACAGCGGTGCAAGTCTGAATTTTATCTTAAGCTGAAGAGTTAACAGGAAAAATATGATATACGACTACAGGCTATAAGTGATAAGCAGCTCTAAAATCTGTTGCGCTTTTGCAATCACTGTACTTTGATTAGATTACTACTGGATTGATTTACAGAACTGTTATGTTTCTCTGGCGATCGTTATTAGTGGAAGCTAAATGTGATCGCTCTTACAGTGTCTTCGAATACAGTGTTCTGCTTATGAGTATGTACGTGTATATACACATTCATGTTCTCTAAGTATACAAACATTACGCTAGTTCGGGATGAGAAACGTTTCTGTGACTGTTCTATTAACTCTGGCAACTATACATATTACCGTATTCATAGTTACTTGTCAGTCCAGCTCGACCGCACAAAGTAAGTACCTGAAATAAGTTGTATCTAAACACCCCTTTATATGCGTTGAAACTTCAGGGGAGAGTCTAAAGTTTGCACTTAATATGAGTTCTAATTTTAACGTCTTCAAAGTGTCTTACTAGTGTAGCTCGAGTTCACAGAGAAAGTACCTGAAATAAGGTATATCCAAACCTCTCCTTTAAATAAGCTATGACTTCAGGACAGGCCCTAAAATTTGCAATAGTGTGAGTCGAAATTTAACTAGGTTGTTCTCTCTGGTGGCTCAGCGGCAATTCTGAGAGCCTGTAACGCTAAAAATCGGGTTTCAATACCTGTGCAGTGGGTAGAGCACAGATAGCCCATTATGTTGTTACAATAAAGGGGTCAACTATATAAAAGTGTGATATCCAAAAGTCAACTTATATAAAAGGGTAAACTCTTTAGAAATATAATTTAAAACTGAGTAAGTTACAAAAAAATTGGGAAACTTGGCCCTCTTTTTTTATATTATTGTTCCGGTTGCAATTAAAAAGGGGACAAAACATTCCTCAAATTCTTTTTATTATCCATTTTTTTACATTATATATTTACAGGTTTTGTCTCTTTTATATGAGTTGGCTTTTTAATATCACGTCTTTATAAGGCTGGCCCATTTATTCTAACTTGGATGTTTTTAACGTGTAAGATGTTGTTGTTGTTGTTTCAGATATCGCTACTTTTTTTTTAGATTATTACTTTAAAACTTATCAGCCCGAAGTAGGATTTGAAACCCAGATATCAGGGGAAGATACCAACACAGTCGCAGCGTCTTTAACCACTACGTCGTTGTCTCGTTTGTTTTTCTACCTACCCCTTGGCATCAGTTTTAACCTACTAGTTATGCAGAGTTTGTTCGTTTTGTTTATAACAAAACTACTAAGGCTATCTGCCGCTCTGCCTAATTGTGAATTACCAACTAGAGGGAAGAATACAGACCGGCAGCACCCTCTGCCAACTTTTAGGCTTACCAACGAATAGTGGAATTTATCATCACATCATAACACCCCTTATCTGAAAGGTCGAGAGTGTTCAGTGAAAGATTTTGACGCCGCGACCCGCAGATTGCGAGTCAAACACCCTAACCACCAGATCATATTATGCCAACATTAAGATTATCAAAAATATACATAAAAATATTAAGACTTGTAATATAGTTATCAAACCAGTAACATTTCCTAGGTCAGATTAACGTTTAAAAGTGGAAATTTGTTTCTTGCTCACCCTTCTTTGTTTATTATATGTTTTCCTCTTCGACAAGTAGACTAAGAAAAACAAGAATTTGACTACTTTTTAAATGCTCGTTTTACTTAATCTAAAACAGATATTTAGCAGCAGTTTCATATAAGAGTGTTGAAGTATGTTCAGAAACGTCAGAATAGTGTCACTGATAGCCTTTAGAACAGCGGTGGCAATACACAAGATATGGCCAAAATCTCTGTCCTGATTATAAGAGCCATGGCAATGGTTGAGGTCATTATGTTCCTCTAGAGATTGTGTGTGTCTTCTTATAGCAAATCCACATCGGGCTATCTGCTGCGTCCACCAATGGGAATTAAACCCCTGATTTTAGTATTGTAAATCCGAAGACTTACCGCTGTCCCACCGGGGACTTCTCTAGAGATAAATACATATACTCATATAATTTCTTTCAACAATTCATATAGATTAGTATGAGTTTTCCGTTTTAGATGTTATATATACTATGAAAAATTTCAATTGTATGATAAGTCACAATATGTATATACAAAGGCATAAGGAGCATATATATATAAATACCCACCTTCATAATAATTTATCGGAAAGTACTGTTATATACAACATTCATAAGACAGTATGTTAGCACTGTTAAAATGTATATAATATATTGGTGTATTTTTTTCAGAGGCTGACAGAAAGTTACCTAGAGAGGAAATTCATGCCTGTTGTAACAAATCAAATTCTTATTGTAATGAAGATACATGCTACATTTTCTACACGGAAGATCACTTGTGGAATGATGCCTGGCAGCTCTGCTTGTCCCCTTACCCAGAATTCCCAGACTTATTGAGTATTTTTGAAATCAATAGTAAATCCGAATTGGATGAAGTGATGAAATTCGTGACGTCACACGACCCTGTATCAGCCAGTGGTATGATCCCACGTATTATTTATATGTTATAAGTTTTGACATACATGTTTTTTTGTAACGATTTCCCGTATGAAAAGGAGTTGTCCCGAGTTTTAATGTTTTGTTTTTGAGCTATGTTTTCAAGGGAAACTTTCAAAAAACAGTCCCACTATAACTAACACGAAGAATTAGTCGAACTATATGAGAAAAATACCCCAGGTCTTGTGCCAGCCCTGATCGTGTTTAATTCGATGGCCATGGTTATGCACATTGATTAATGCCATAATTTCCATTGTAACAAGCTTTTGTGAGAGACCGCTGTCAGTGTTTCACCATAAATCTTAACAAATTTTCCGGTGTTGGTGGAGTTAGATTGATTCCGCGACCAATTTTGTGCAAATCAAATGCACAGAGGTTCGTGACTATGCGGTCAGGCAATTTCAAAAGTATTCAGATGGTACAGCATGAACACCATTTCATTATACATGGTTCGTAAAAACGCTGTTATGGACTTATGTTATGTTAGGGATTTATCAAGATGTAAGCCTTATCTATTTGCCGTCCTGGTCATACAGTGAGCAATTCTTATCGTATAATTAGTGTCTATATCTTCTTCTGGGTTTGATTTATAATTGATGTTCATACGTTTTTCTAGTGGTCACTATAATTCACCTTTACCTTACTGTGTACTTCGTAGAATATAAATTTCATAACGTATGAGAAATCTGCGCAAATTTTAAAGTCCATTAAAGATATACTTACATATAAAAATCCCTTATCGTTTCATAATCTGTAGCAAAGCTAAACCACAGGTCTCGTTTCTTGTCACAATCATTCATGCATTCAATGTTGCAACAAACTTTCATCTCTCACGTGCAAAGTTTTATTCTTACAATTTGTTGCCCCCTCCCATCTGTGGATCTGGTAAGTATCTTGTGCACGCATAGTTTGTGTTTCCTTACAGGATACTTATTTGAGATAAGTTCAAACTACTAGAAACTGTCTTCTTAGTTTGGGAGGGAGAGGTAGTGATTTTTTGAACAACTAGTCTTGAACTTTTCCATTTGTATTGGCTGTTCTGCATATGGGGGGGATGCTGTTTAAGCGTTTTTACTATGTTATTCACTACGTTATGGATAGACGTCTTTGAAATTCTCGTGACTTGGTCTTTGCACTTTTTTCACTGTTTTCTTAGGCAAATATTCTTCCTTTGAAAATCCAGTGACATAAAATTATTCCAGCCATAAATCTAAAACGGAATTACACCGTCGAAAGATCTGGAATTCGTCGTAAAACAAAACAAAAAATGCCATCAATCTCAAACATCTTACATCTGCAGCGACACATCACTTCATAAGTAAATCTTTCTTGCAAAATACTATTAACCATCCACAAATGTTTCCTATGTCCAATAATAGCTCTACAGGATCAGCTAAGAACTTATCGTATACGCTGGAGAACGTAATAAGAAGACAAAAGAAAGATTTGCTAAGTACAAGGAGCTAGAGTACTTTG